AGATTAGTGCCATCTGAAAATAACTGATACCAAAAGTTTATGCTAAAAATATTTTATTAACATTTACGCCATAGTCAGTGTTGCATTACCAGTTGTTCCTGCAGAAACATGATGATATTCCTTCTGAATGTGTCCCAGGCTGCACTGGAAGTGCTACATCTACTGCTCTATTTGAGCTTGTAAATTACCATTGTGTGATGTGCAGGGCTTAATTTGTAACCCCATTTATGCTGGAACGCAGATAGTGAGCGGGGCAGCAGCATGGGCGGAGGGAGGGGGTGGCGGTGGCGTCTGGGGGTCCTCCCCCTGGAAATTTTTAATAAAGTAGATGTGATTTCCTGCATTTTGGTGTATTTTAACAGGTTGTTATACATCTACGTTTACCTACATTTGTAAACACTTTGCCCCTGTCAAGCTCCGCCTCTGTCCAGCACCGAGCCCGACTCTGTCCCTGCTCGTTGTTGTCCGACTCCACATGTGAAACCTCCAGGCGCCTGCCTGATGCTGCCTGCTCAGCACTTCACTCTGTTAGGGGTGGAGATTTGTTTAAGGGTAGAGGCAGCTCGTATGCTGTTGTGTTTAAAATGAGTGTTTATGTAATTATTTTCAGTTACATACAGGATATGTTTTATTTGTTCAAGGCATTATTGTTACATAATATTTGTTCATAACTTTATTATTAGTAAGTCTGAGAGTTAATGGATCCAAGCCGGATCTTAGCAGTTACTGGAAGCACCCTATCAAAATAAAAAAGTTCCTGTATTCTGTTCTGGCAGGATCTGGCTCAAATTAAGCCCTGGTGGTGTGAATAACAATGTGATGAGCAAATGGTGAAGAAATGTTTATCAAATAATGTTTGTGTGAAACACTTTTTTTTTTTTTTTTTACTGGAATTGGATTAGACCAAACTTTGTTTCTTCAGACTGAGGTTGTTCAAAAACCTAAGACAAGTCAGATATTTACAACCTTTTCACAGAACCCCACTTCAAGGGATCTGAAGTGTCATTGTAACAAAGCAATCTCATCATAATGTCCATTTAGTGGCTGCATGCCCACTTGTCAAAGATATGAATGTCAATAGTCAAACTTTTTTTTTGATAGCTAAAACAAGGAGGTCTGAGGGTCTGCCACTGAATTATTCACCTTGTGATGAGATTGCTGCTTCAACTAAAATCAAACATGAACTCAATGATTATTAGTGCTTTCTGTGGACATGTCTGTTTACATGTGTGCAACTTTAAGATGCTCTGAAACAGCAGCTTTTCTTTTTAATCATGCTTAAAATTTAAATGTCAGACTTTGTTTTACTGTTCAAACGTTGAAGTTTTTGTTTGTGAGCTTCTGCTTCCTGACTCATGTGTTGAATCTTTGATGACCTCTTTGACTCAGTTTCCCTGTTGGGAATTCAGGGAATTAAATTTCAGTGAGCAAAAATATTTGTTTGGAAAATAACTAAGCTTCATCTGAGGGAGTTTATTGCTCTTAAACTCACTAAAAGGATAAGAATGTGGGAAGAATCTCAAGATGATCTAAGAGATGTAAGGTGTAAAGTGCAAAACTATTATTTGTGTGAATGGAAAGATTTGATTTATTTACCATGTGTGTCTGTTTCAAGTAATGTTTTTATTTATTTATTTATTCATTTATTTATTTATTTATTTGTTTTGCTCGAATGTCTGTTTTATTTAAACAATTATGTTGTCAATATGAACTGTTCTACTGATAATAAAATAATAATAATTCAGCTGTAATGAAAATAAAAAATTAACATCAGCTTACATAGCAAGCACAGTCCCAAAGCTAAAATGCTGAACATATAAAAATAAAAAAAAATTAAACTCAGAACTAAAACCCCAGACTTGGTGCAGCTTTTTAAGTTTACAGCAGCTGGTCTTACAGGAAACTCCACCATGAAATGTAATTAAAGTCAATATATGAAGATTGATCAAGAGAAGAACTTTCCAAATTAAATGAAATGCATTACTGTTTCAACGGCATCACAACATGATTATTTGCTTTATTGCAACTGGTTTAAGTTTTGAGATCATTGTCTCTAAAGAGCCTGTAAATGTTCTCCAATGCACCCTTATGAAAATTAATCCTGGGACTCAGTTAAAACCTAAGCTGTTTCAAAATCTAATACAGTACAAATGTAGTGGGGAAAATTCTTTCAAAAAGTAATTTATTTGTATATTCCACCTTTCCAGTTTATGACTTTTTAAGGGCTGTTCTTAAACGGACAGCTGGGAAAAGAAAATGTTTAGCCATCCACCTTAAATGGATCCAGTCACATTTGACTCCTGCATCAACCAGGCTTTGAACTGAATTTAAGGTTCTGAACTTGATCATCCATCCATCCATATCCTGCAGTCACTGCACGAGAGGCGGGTTACACCCAGGACAAACCGTAAGTCCATCACAGGGACACACAGAGACAAACAACCTCTCACTCACACCTAGGGACCATTTAGAGTTACCAGTCAGCCCAACATAAATGTTTTTGAACTGTGGGAGGAAACTGGAATACTCCAGAGAAAACCAAAGCATGCAAAAGGATATCATGATCCTCCAACCATAAAAACCTGAGACTAGGAGGTGATCCTGCAACATTCTCACTGAGGGGTGACTGCTTTAACCGTTGCTCCTATCAGAGATGCAAACATACCATACTTACTGTAAAGTTCAGTTCAGTGTATATTCCTTGCTAAATCTGTAAGACAATAACAAAAATATCATTTCTTCTTCTGCTTTGTTACCTTTTTTAAATTATAAATAACAGGTTTTTTGTGCGCTGTCAAATACTGAACATGACATTTATTTTCATTTTTATTTATTTAGTAGCGATGAACCTAGCTGAAACCTCGCTGAATGTTTAGTAAATGTCTCACACGAGAACTACAAGTTAACCTTTTTTTTTTTTTTTTTTTTTGCTGCCATTGGCTTAGATGTCAGTGCTGGTTATACCAACCGTGGCACTGAACCAGAACACATGCAGATAATTTGTGGTGACATCAGCCAAGCATGAAATGTTTAAAGTTACATAAAACATGACATTTACAGATTACCCCCTCTAATCCAAAGACAAACTTGCTCATCTTTGTGCAATATTGAAATGCTGGCTAAAAACCAGAAGTTCAGAAGTCTGGAGTGACAAGATGTGACCTGCCTGAGTTTTTCTGCAGCCTGGTTTGTTGCGCATATCACATGAGTTTGATCATGCAGAAGGTATTGTAGTTGCACTGTGTCTTGTCAAAGAGCCCAGCCATGCAGCGCTCTTGATCTTCTCAGTGAAAGATAACCACTGTGCCACTGAGCTACACCCACTCCATAAACCTGTTGGCTGTAAATGCTGTAAAATCAAATTTGGAAACTTTAAACAGCAGCACAATAAAATGGTAAATGGACTATACTTATATAGCACCTTTCTATCTTATCAAGATACTCAAAGCATCAAGGTTCATGCTCAATAATCTGGATATTGTTGGATTTTTTTTACCTGGATTATTGAGCATGAACCACTTTGGCTGTGGCTGCCTGCCTGGGAGGAGTCGACGGGGGAGAGGACGGGTCCCAGAAACCATCTTATCACCAACAAACTGGTTGGTCCACTGTAGGAGTGCACTGCTTAGTGGGGAAACAGTTTGTTTGTGACTCCTCAGACTGATGAAGCCCTTCGGATGGAGGGAGAAACGTCTCTCAACAAATAATAGAAACTGCCCAGATGACCTGACTGAACATTGTTGGATACTCAAAGCACTCTACACTACAACATGTGTCCTCATTTACCCATTCATATATCACTCTACTAGATCTATACAAAGAATAATCAGCGCTTTTTATCCCATTCAATCACCGATGGGACACACATGGTAGGCAATGAGGGGTTCAGTGTCGTGCCCAGGGACACTTCGGCATTTGACTGCTGGTGGAATCGAACCTCCAACCCTTGCATTGGAGGACGACTGCTCTAACCACTCAGCCACGGCTGCCCCAAAAATATGCATTGTGCCATGTAACAGCAAGACAGATTGCTGGAAAAGTGGTTAAATTAAATGAATTGTACAGAGAGCACTGATGCTCTTGAACAGGATAGACTCCAAATGTTAATGACCTTTAGAAGTAAAGCAAATCAAAATTTCACGATATGTTCAGTGGTTCATCAGGTATTTTGCTAACAGACTTGAATGACTAATAGTTAGTCAAAGTTTTAAGCAAAAAAAAGTTGTACAATGCCTATTTCAGAATTAGTGCTGTACAGTAAATGACTCTCCACCTACACTGAACTCTAGCTCAATGTCTGTTAAATTGATTAAATTATAGCCATTTTATGTTGATAATGTCAAATAGCTGTATATATATATATATATATATATATATATATATATATATATATATATTATAATTTCTCTTTAAACTTCAACAATAAACAGTGCTGAAGCTATAAACAGTTGGCCTGTCCAAATTGGCCTTGGATAGGTCAACATCTCAAATTGCTCCTGGAGGATGCGTAAACTAAAAGCTTCTGATCTGAAACAAAAACTAGTCATTTTATGTCACAAGAAACAATGAATGAAGATGGAAGTAGGGGTTTGTATGAGGTGATCATAGAATAATACAACATGCACTGTGAGGATGAGAGGATATGTTTGAAAGGATGTCAGTGTGTGGGTATTACGTCAAATGAGCAATGCTATTGGCTGCCGCACATCCCATGTGCCATCTGTCCCAGTTGGTCGGTGCAAACGTGACGCTGTGCTGCATTCTCAGGAAAAGAACAATGATGTGCACGTACAGGGACACAGATCGGATTAAAGAAATGTCTACAAAACTTTATTATTCCCTTACAGAGATTTATCAGATGCATCCAGTTAAATCAAACAAAAAAAAAACATGAACATCCTTGTGATTGTCATTTTCTGTTTTTACATACAATCAGACATGCATTGTAACATTGTAAAGTACATGTGAAGGGTTTTAGAGCATTTCACATATTGTTTACTATGTTTACTTTATCACATTAAAATAACCTTTTAAAATCTTTATTGTGATGAAACAAGTTACTCCAACGTTAAGACATTCAAAAAACAAAGATGGCGCCAAAAAATAACAAAAAAAAAAAAAGACAGTTTTGACTTTATTAGCAGGAAAAGGCAAAGGTATATAAAACTGCAGGATGAAATCTATGCAAGAAACACAAAATGCACAATAAATACAGAAAGCCTATAGATACAGAGAATTTATTGTAAAACTTTAATATTTTTTCTTTAGGAATCTGAGTTTTATACAATAAATTAATGAATTGTGAGATATTTTCTTAGTAGAAATTGTAACTTTTTTGTTTCCAAACCAATATGTTTTGGGAAATGGTTGTTACAGAAGGTAAAGAAGTAAAGCAGCTTTTCAGAATGAATAAAAATGTCCATTTAAATGATGACAGGAGAGGAAAGATATCTTGTTTCCCACAGAAGCAAACACCTGCGCATTTCCTATGTTGGTGAAAATACTTGCATGACACCGCTGACTTAAAGGTCATCATTCACATCTTTCCAACAATCTCCTGGGCCTAGAAAATAGGAAGAAATAAGATTAAAACCAAAGCATGCAATAGTGACGATCCTCTGAATATTCATGGTGATTTTAAATTTTGTGAATTATTTGTGAGCCACAACTTCTGCATGACAAGAGCTAAATAAATAATTAGATTTTTTTCAAATCCTAAATGAAGGGAAACTAATTATGGAAAAATATCACCCTTGTTATTTTCATGCTTAGGAAAAAACATCAAATACTTCATAGCTTACTGTTGTATATTAAAACAGAAGTGATAGACAGGCTGGAGGAAGTATTATGGTTTGCTACTGTCACGCTGCACTCAATTTTCAGCCATAACATTATGATCACTGACAAGGAAACAACTGTTCATCTTATTAGATTTGTTTTTGTTTCTTAGTTTTATTTTCAAAGAAAATCAGCATACTGGACATAATTTCAATGGTCCTTTAAATTTTCCACATATTTTGAATTTCAGCTGCATGTCCAATTGGTTTGCTTAATAAAAAGAGATTTTGTAGTTTTCTATCTTTGTAGTCTTTTCATTATTTTTTTTATTTTTTTACTGCTGTAAATATCTGATAGTTTTAAGCCGCATGGTTGCAAAAACAAAGATTTTTAACTTTCTAAATGTTTACATTTAATTTCTGAATTAAAGTCATCACTGCAAAGCTGATCTTTTTTCTCTTTTTTCTTTTTTGCATAACTGTTTAATACTGAATGAATGCCTTTCCCTTTATAACCTCTGTTCATTAAACTTGAATACAGTTCAGCTGTGAGTCTGCTGTGCTCACCTTTGCCTTTATGCAGCCTGTCATCTGACCTCCTCCTCACCTTTCTGCCTTCACTTGAGCCTTTATTGACGAGCCCTTCATCGCTGGCGGCCTGCAGACTGTCGAAGGTGCCCTGCCGCTCGTGCTCCATCATATGGGAGTTGCTCGCTCTCTGCCGTTTCTTCCAGGACTCCATGATCACCTCCACACAAGCAAACCTAGTATCTGTGGTGCAGGCGTACATGCCTATAGGCACGGCCAGCACCATGGCTAAAACTATCACCGCAATGTGAATAAGCTTCTCCCTCTGTTCCATCTCTGTGATGTCACTTCCTGTCACAAACATGATACACTGACCTGGGCGTGGTATCTGGTTCTTGAGCGTCACACAGATTTCATATTTGGTGGCAGGTGTTAGATTTGTGACAGAGTACGAGTGAATCCCAGGTCCGATGTAGGTTGTTTCTTTGTAATCAGCATCTGCACGACCGAAGTGGATGGTGAACCACGTTTCTGAGGGATGCTCCAGGGCTGCAAACCACTCGATGAAGATACCACGCACCGTCTGTTTAGCAATGCGAATGTCAATGAAGACATTTTCATCTCCATCTCCTGGTGCAGCTGGGCGACCTGGAAAGTGGGGCGACTGGCTGCTAGCAGTGAGGACGTCCAGGAAGATACTGACTGAGGAGTTTCCCATAAAGTTCACCGCAGTGCAGGTGTAGACACCACGGTCAGCTGCACTGAGGGAGGGGATCCCCAGGAGGGATCTGATGGTATCATCAGCCACTCTTTCCTGAGATTCTGAATGGATAAGGAAAAAAAAAAAATCCCATTTTATTAGAAAATACTTTTTAATTAAAAACAACAGCATGTTCAGCCGTACTATGTAAAGAAGAAGCATCCAAATGCATTTTCATGATGTTCTTTTCAAAGTTTGATCTGTTGCCTAGGTATTGTCATTACTGTTTGATTTTTTTTCCCTGCACCATTAGAACTGTAGTGGTGTAGTGATTTTATTGAAAAGCCAAAATTCAGAAGGTCTTCTGTAACTAAACAGTTTGGTCAAGACTGTAAGAATAATGCAAGCAGCCAACGGACTTTCAATGGTGCTCACCAGGGCAGTAACCATGAGCCCAGAGGTGTAGAGCGCCCCAGAACGGTATTTTTTTAAAACCTAGTAAGGAAACTGAACGTTAAACTGGGTTTCTTTTTCAGAAACAGATCCGGTCTAACTCTGAATGCTAGGAAACACCTTGTAACTGTGACTTTCTTTCCCTTCATTGACTACGATGACATTATTTATATGAATGCTATTACAAGCACCTTGCAGATGCTGGACACTGTCTATCATGGTGCGCTAAGATTCATAACTGGCTGTAACTATCATACCCACCACCGCACCCTGTATTCACTGGTTACCTGGACATCATTAACTTCGCTCAGACTCTCCCACTGGTATTTTTTCATTTTAAAATCTCTTCTTGGTCTGCTGCCTTCATACATCTCCTCCTACATGTCTCTGCGTGAGTGCAGCTACAGCGTGCACTCTCAGGACATTATTACATGCAGTGTTCCCTCAGTGCAGACTGGACTAGGCAAAAGGGCCTTCTCCTACTCCGCTCCTGTTTCCTGGAATATCTTACAAAATGATCTGAAGCTCTCGACCTTAACCTCTCTAAGTGGCTTCAAACATCTGCTAAGTTCATGACAAAAACCAATGCAGACATGTTCCTGTTTTTAGTTTTCTACATCGCCTTATAATCTAGCTGCTTGTGTTTTTTTTGTTTGTTTCATTTTTAATAACATTTTGTTTCACTTATTCTTCTCAATTTGTATGCTTCCTTTTATGATTGTCTACTGTTGTCTTTGTTGTCTACCATTATCATCATTCTTTGTTAAAATCAGGTTTCTCTTGTAAATGAGTCCCCGAGGCTCAATGGGATTAACCTGTATAAATAAAGATTGAATATTAAGCACATCAGATGTTTAAAGACATAAATTTAACTAATTTTAAAACAAAAAAAATCCATTAAATTCCAAACAGGTGGACTTCTGTCCATCTTCACTTCTGAGAGATTCAGCTTCTGTAAAATGTTCTTTTTGTACCCATTCCTCTTACTGACCTGCTGCTAGTCTCGTTTGTCTCTGACATGTTCCTGTGATGGACTTGGGATCTGTCCAGGGTGTCCCCCGCCTCTCACACAGTGACTGCTGGATATGGGCACCAGTGACACCAGGGACCCGAAAAGCAAGAAGCAAGTAAAGATAATGGATGGATGGATGGATGGATGGATGGATGGATGGATGGATGGATG